TTGTTACAAATAAATAAATATAAATTATAAAATAATACAATTATTTAAATAGGCTGGCCCAATAAATTAGAAAGACTTTTTTTTAACGCTTAAGTCTGACCTCTTTATCTAAATAGGCCTTTAAAAAAGTCTAAGTTTGACTTTTTAATAAACGAGTCAAGTTGAGTTAAGATTAAATACGCTAGGTCATAGGCTCCTGACAGGCGGCCTAGCTCATTTGTATCCTTATCTCTAACCAAAAAATCTTATTTACCGTTTATGTCAAGCTAACAATTACTACTATAAATAACCTTAATGTTGCCTCATAGTCATGAAGTGTCCAGTGAGAGTTAATGTTCCCTTTCCTATGTGTTGTGCAATGACTTATTTAGGATTGCACGATGATCTAAAGGATTAGGCCAAAGGATAAGCTAGTAGGAAATTTTTATATGTATATTATGAGTGCTTAAGAACTCCTACCTAGACTTTTATTATATTTGAATAACTTAGGAAAATCTAGAAGTTCTAATGGGCTAGAGGATTAGGCCAAAGGATAAGCTATTAGGAAAAATCTATATGATTATGAGTGCTCAAGAACTCCTACATAGACCTTTTTTTTTATATGTATTATATTTGAATAACTTAAGAAAATCTAGAAGTTTTGTAACTAACTCATAAATCAAGTCATGAAAGCTATATAATATTAATGTGGTGTGTGATGAATGTCGTACTCGGTCAAATAAAAAGCAATTTAAATACTAACTAGGAGACAAATCTAAGTCGTTTTCTCAACGACCTTAGTTATAAATGTAACAAAACATAGAAAATTGGGAAAATTTTGAATACAAATAATAATGTAATTAAGAAATTAAAATACAAAAAAATTCAAGAAACTAAAAGTGATTGACTTGTGATTTTTACTCTGCAAAATAGATTTGATTCTGAAATTAATCTCAATTCAATTCAAATTAAAGAACACACGTTTTTAATTTGAATTTCTTAAATCATCATTGAATATATGTCTCTGATCGGTTCGATATGATTCTTCTCAATTTGATTTCAAAAGTCTGATCTATTTGAATAAATGTTTCGAGATTGCATAAGTAATGAATTATCTGAAATTATACTGACGCGATCTAAGACCGAATTAAAAGTATTTGTAACAAGATTGAAAAGGTAAGAAATAAGGTTTTGAATTGAATTAAAATAGAAAATGTTACCTCATTGTCTTGCGAGATTGAATTTGTAGATCAATCTATGAAATTACTCATCTATCACAATTGTAAACATAAATGCAAGTTTAAGGGTAATTATCATAGGAAGGCTAAAACAAATTTGCAAGAAGAGAGGAAACAAGAAAGAACTCAGATTAACTTAAAATTGAAAAATAACAAAAATGTAAAAAAGAAGAAAGTCTAAAAGAGTTTGTCTCTCAATTCTTCCAACTTCTTCTCTTTATATAGAGGTTAACCCTAAACTAAATCTAAGCTAATAAGTTCAAAAAATAAAATCGGTTACAAAACCTTACTAGGCTCAAATCCTAATAACAAACTACTAAAGACACTTAATTCTCACAATTCTTGTAATAGTATTAGGAGGACAACTTCAAATGTCCGTAACTTTCAACTTGGAATTTCAAATCTAACAAATGAGGTATCATATCAAAACTCTTTGAATTAGTTTTTCAGTATAACAAGAATTATTGAGAAATTACAAGTGTATAAAAAAAAAAATGATCAAAATAGTAAATAAATATTAAAAGTACTAAAATACAAGAATTAGCTAAAATTATTAAGGCTCAAACAAATTAAATTAACATAAAACACTAAAGTAATCATAAAAATAATATTAAGAGATAGTGTGGAAGATATTAAAGTGTCAATATAATTAATTAATGAGTACGTTAAAATAATAAATATAATCTCTAAAATTATTTCCGATCTAAAGGAATCGATGCTTATCACTTAATCTAATAGCCAAGGATATCATTTTTAGAAGACAACATTTTTAAGAGATAAATTAATTTAGATATTTTTTACATAAAAACTATATAAAAATCAGTATTATCAAAATATTGAGCAACATGCCCTCGAGAAAAGAAATCAACGATGAAATCAAGACAGATTGAAAAATTCACCTATTTATTAGATTTTAGTCATCATAGGATCTATTTATGATTACAAGGATTTATCAGCTACAACATTTGTTATCACCACATGCGATATTGTAACATTTGGTTGTTATTATTACATGTGAACAAGTCTATATATATATATATATATTTATTTATTTATTTTTTATTTAGATGATACAACAACGACTTTTGGTACGCTGACAATCGTTGTTATATCTTCTAGAAGTCCCTCTAACACCAAGGCTAATACTGCTGAGTTTGGCTCTTACCACGTCTTCAAAAGTCTTCGGCTTTCTCCTTCTGTTAACAACAAAATATACTTTATACAAAAAGTGCCAAGTTCCCAAAGTCACCACTTTATAATAAGATATGCATCATGCATAAATAAATCTAAATGTTAACTAACACACTTTTTTACATATATTTTTTTAATAGCTAAAATTTGTTTAAAATTATAAAAACCATGTCTCATGTAAAAAGTAAAATTTAATAAATCTCACTCTTACTTTTATAATTTTTAATAAATTTTAATAATAGTTGAAAATGTGTTAGAAATAGTATCTTCAAGAGTCACATACTTCATTATTATCCATTATGCATTCAATTTTTGCTTTGTACAATCAACATAAGTCAAATTAAGGAAATTTTAATCCAAACTAACTAAGAGTCCAGTTGTTTGTTAAGAAAATTTCACTCAACTCAAATTCAACCAATTCAATCAAATCTAAGTGAATAGATATTCAAGATTAATCCTTGCAGTAATCTCACTTAAAATACAGTTAGTTGAAAGACCTATAAAGAAAGTTTCAATGTTTGAATCACTTAAAATCGATATAATATTTGATATTATATATCATTATCTTTATCTCTCATCTTTTACTTTTTAGGCATACATGTATCACAAATATTACACAAAATATGAAGAAACACCTAAAAATACCCACTTTTAATACTGTATTAAACATTTTTCATAAAAACAAAATGAAAGTAACTAATGTGGATAGTCAAAAGACGTGTGTTGCATGAATAAAGTTGGCCTAAGTTCAAGTTAATCATCAAATTGCATAAATATATTAAAAATTTTAAAAGCATTTTTTTTTGTCTGGAAATTTTAAAATAAAAACAAATGGGAAAAAAAGAGTATTTGGGTCTAATCCATGGAATGGTTTTGAAATTGTTTGATCTGAAATATAACCCAATCCACTTCAAAATTTTTGGTGAGACTTCTTAATGGGATTGAAAACTTTATTGGGACTATGCCCACTTCCATAGGTAAGTACCCTCCACAAGAATCACATTCTTACTACAACTCAAGTCCTGATTCCGAAGAGTGGTCCATCGCAATAGATGCTTCCTTACTTAGAACAAAAATCATATAAGATGCTATCCACTTTATTCTTGTTTGGGAGGGGTTTTTTGTTTTTTATTGATCTTTTTCTTTTAGCTTAGTTCTTTTGACCCCTTTCACCACCAAGTGCTTTGAATCCGTGTTGGCAGCTTTATTCTATGTAGCCAATGTGTAATTCGTTACAACGCATAACCAAAGACACGCCACATTCAAATACGAATCCACCATGTTTATTCTGTCTTCAACTCAACTCAATCTTTTATTCAATGCCAAAAGTTTACAAGTACAAAATTTAGTTCGTGCTTTTTCTAATAAAAAATTCGCATATTAACTATTACTCTTGAATTTTTATTAAAAATTAATACTAAAAATACTTATCAAACAACTTAATTTTGTCCATTCTATAATAGGTACAAGCATGAACCGTGACGTTCGATAATTCAAAGAGAGAGCACAATGGAATGTAACACAAGATGGGGACACAACGACAAGTACAAAGTGGTTGCCCATACGACATTCCCTTGGCATTATTTTCTGATAGAGATTTGAACACAAACTAACGTTTTACTATTTTTGCTAATTAAAAGAAAAGCCAACTTAAATGTAACTTCGAAATCAATAACTTGGGCACTTAATCTGTTCAAACTAGAGACAGAAATCAAGTTAATACAAAGAAAAAGTAGAATTCTAGTTGCCAAGTGAAAAGATAGCTAAGCATAACTTTTTTATTATAACAAAATAAAATAGCTGTGTATAAAAGAAATTTTCTTTTTTTTTTAACAAGATAAATAATACACCTTAGACAGTAATAGTTTAGTTACAACCATTATTTTAAAATAAATTAGTAAGTTATTAAAATATCTGTCGTTAACCTTTGAATCAATCTTAATTACACTTTACCTACTTAAATGCATATATCTTTACGTAAAGAATACTTATGTCTTTTTTAAATAAAATTTTAACTGATAATCATTATTTCACATGTAAAAAAGTATAAAATGACCAAAGAAATTACCTAAATTATATTGGTGTATATATACATATAAACACCAAGACCAATGGAAAAAAATTTCCTTTCACGTTAAATCTCTCGTAAGAAGTACAAGTAACCAAAAATTGTTTAGCAAACCACAGCTGGCTGAATTTTATAACTAACTAGATTAAGATAAGAACAGCCCAAGGGTAATGATATCAAGGTTCAGTGAACCATGCTACCCGTAGAAGCAAGAGCCCATACTCATCCAACTTACTAATCACTATAATCCCGTACATGTTAAAAGTGTAATAAAAAAACAAATTTGCATACGGGAGGAATAATAAATTGTTTTATCAAAACCGTTAGCTTTGCTTAAGTATCGTATAATAATAAATGGTAAATAGTTTAGTGAACATAGCTCTGCCACAGCATTTTTAATTTCACACTCGTAGGCAAGGCAATTAGGATTATGAGATGTTAGACGTTAGATCATTAACCTCATGGAGATGGCATTAAATTCAAAATGATTATAGCAAAAATCATATGACAGAAGATATAAATATTAACAGCATTAGCCACCCACATGTAAAAAAACACAAATTGCATCCAATTGTTCTAGGTTCATAATAATAACCCAAAAAAAGATGAAAAGTGAAGTAACAAAGCATGGTGAGACACGGCTAACAGAAACTACTAAAGCAAGGGACGAAACAAACAAGTAGGATACTAAGGAGCAGTACCAATTAAAGCAAACAAGAAAATAGACACTCAAGCAACAAAAGCTAATAATCCCAAATGAAGATGTCCTAATGGAAATAGAATTCTCATCAAAACTTATCTGCCCAGTCCCTCTTCTCTTTATATGCTTTTTCAAATTTTAGTTATAATTTTTGGTCCTCACTTGGCCATCATGACTTTGACAAACTCCTCATAGTTGATCTGCCCATCACCATCAACATCAGCCTCACGAATCATCTCATCAACTTCTTCATCTGTAAGCTTCTCTCCAAGATTTGTCATAACATGGCGAAGCTCAGCTGCAGAAATAAAGCCATTCTGATCCTTGTCAAACACGCGGAAAGCTTCCTTAAGCTCCTCCTCCGAATCAGTGTCTTTCATCTTGCGGGCCATCAGGTTGAGGAATTCTGGGAAATCAATAGTTCCGTTTCCATCAGCATCAACCTCATTTATCATATCCTGCAGCTCTGCCTCAGTTGGGTTTTGCCCAAGTGACCGCATTACAGTCCCAAGTTCCTTGGTAGTAATACAACCTACAGCATGTTACAAAATAGTTAAACACAACAACACAATTCAGACTAAGATGAGAATTGCATGACAGTGTTTTGGAAACAAGAACAAAAAAAACACAAATCTGAGCAGAATATACCATCCAGTTATGTTGAAACCAATGTTTCAAGAGAAACAGATATCTTGCATCAGGAGTATAGGTATGGAAAGGTAAACATTATCATATATATCAGAGGCATGCATGACAGTAAAGCTTATTCAATGCAGTAGACAAATCATCAGAACAGAATTCCTAGGAAAACAGATCCTCAATTTCAAATGCACTGAGGAGCATTTTTCCCAAATTTTAAACACAACATTCCCAAATACGTGAGGTATGTCATGAAATAATTCCCAACAAGATGACACCAACAGATCCACCACCCTCAACAATCCAACTAGCCATTCCATTCTCAGACATCAGAAAAATTGAAATATCCAAATTAAAGACAACAAACTGCCACCCAAATGCAGCTTCAAAAATTCAAAGGGGGTCTCTCACACATACAACTTTGAAAATCATAATCCTTATCACCAAATTCCACATCCATAAAAATCATCCCAATACGTGCATCAAACAACAATAAATCGAACCCCAGTTCAAAATCCAAAAGGCAAAAATGCAGTTCCAATCCCACGATCCACATCCATACAGACCCATAATCAGCACACGCCAAACACCATGGCATCAAGGGCCAAAAAACCAAAAAAATCAATGAAATTTCAACCGCACACAAGATATAAACATCCACAAGGTCAAACAGAGAAAACAAACCCGGAACCCTAGATCACACAGAATAGTTTAAAAAAATTCTCCCAAAAATTTCCAAGGGGGGCACCGCAACAAACACGAAACATGCATCAACAATAAAAGAATTGCATAAATCAGATCTAAACAACACCCAAAACACTCGAACAAGGGTTAGAGAGATAAACATAGAGAAAGAGGGATCTGAGGAAAGAGACCATCGCCGTCCTTGTCGAAGAGGCTGAAGGCCTCCTTGAACTCAGCGATCTGGTCGTCGGTGAGCTGGTCGGCCATTGAGGGTGAGAGAGGGGTGTTTGAGAAGCGAGAAAACGAGGTAAAAGCAAAGGGAAAGAGAAGGAAAATGAACCTGAAAATTAACGAAGTGAGCAATGGGGCATTATATATATATATATATATACACCCTTCTCCCGAGGCTATGGTCCGAATGCTTTATTAAATACTAAATTCTCTCTCTCTTCTTCTCTACAAATGTTAATTAGTGTGATGTAATTTTAAAAATAAAAATAAATTAAAATTATTATATTATGCTTTATAGTATAACAGAACAAGATATTAAAAATTTAATTTAATTTAATTATATTTGTACATTTTATATTAATTTTTAGATATCAATAATGTTATATAAAATATAATCTTTTTATCGATTCAAACATTACATTATAAGTATACATTATCTTGTTATTTATATTAAAATTAATTATAAAAATATAATAAAATATCTCTATTTTATATTTTAAAAACTTATATTATATTAATTTAAAAATAAAAATTAAATATTATATAATTTAAATTTTTAAAGACATAATTTATATAATAAAATCTAATGTAAAATTATTTAATAAATATTATTAAATAATGTAAGAAAGAGTATAACTAATTATGTGTCCAGTAAATTTAGTTGGTAAGTTAATCATAAGTTAAAAAATAAGTAATTAAATTAAAAATATTTGATAAAATTATTTATTGAAGTAGTTGATAAATGTAAAATAATATATAAAAGTATCATTAATTTTTAACTCAGACGTTAAAATTTGATAATTATTCAATTGAATTTTAATTTTAAATAAATTTTTAATAAAATAAGATAATATTAATTAATTTATATTTAAAAACAGAATTTAATAATTTTATTATATTTTGATAAGATAGAACAATGCAAGTGATTTAAAAAAGTTGAATGTGAAAGGTAATGGAATTTTAAAATTTAAAAAAGTAAAAGAAAGAATTACGAAAAAATAATAGAGACAAAAATAAAAAAATTATTTTAGTTAGTATAAAAAATATTAAATAAAAAATTATTGATTAATTTATTATAAAAATTCAAGTGTGCAAAGTAACTAATTATCTATAATTAATAGTGAAAAAATATTTTATTCTTTATGATAAATATTTTAATTTACTATGTCACAATAATTTTTTCTTTTTTCTTTTGCTTAATTTATTATTTATTTTTCCATTTTAAAATTGCTTTTGTCATGTTTTATATTTTCTTGACTTTAATTTTAATATAGTATTATTTTAAAAAAAAAACTATACTACTAATTAATTAAAGGATATGATAAATGTATTTTTATTTAATTATCATAAATAATAATTTTTTATTGATATAAAAATGTATAAATAAATAATAATGTAAAGAATCTTTAGACTTTTATATTAAAATTTGTCTAAAAATTCTTATGGTAACTTTCTTATTTGAAGTCTGAGCTTTAAGGTTTTCTTAGTTGAAATAAGAACATGAATCATATTTTATACCCTTGCATACTCTCAACATTAGACAATAAAGTTATACTTACTTTTACGAGATTATATAATTTTGAACTCAATAAAAAACTTTAATTTGTGAATATTTTTATTAAAAATATTAACAATTTATTATTAAGATGAAAGACAATGTTCACGATAAAGACTTCCATAATTATGAGTATAACAGTAAAAATAAAATTGAGAATTTTTTTTTAAAGTTGATCTATTTTATATCTTAACTTTTAAAATTTTTCCAATAAAAATAAAGATGAGATAAAAGTCTTTTGAAATAGATTTTGATACCACACTCCATGTCTCTTGCATATTGAAAATGTAAATTATTATTTATTTTAATATAATTTAATATATTTATTTAATTTAATAATTTTAAATGTATTTAAATATATTAAAATTTTAAACCAATTTGTTTTAAAATTTGATTTTTTTTGTTTTTTAAATTTATTTTTTATCTTTTATATTTTAAAAAATTATTAATTTTAGTCCTTGGTCACTATTATATGATGATGTAACTAACACTTATATTAATTAATGTGTCATTTTTTCGTAAATTTGCATCATAAAAAAATCAAAATTAATAATTGTAAGAATATAAGCTACACAAATAATTTTATAAAAGTATTAATATACTTTGAAGATTTAAAAAATGTTTAAATTTATTTCTTTTTGGTTATGCAACAAATGTGCTAAGCACCTGAGTATAGTATACACTATAGTGCAAATAAAAAATACTTAAAATTTCATCTCAAAATAAGACACCAATTTTTTAAAAGAACATTCTTTTAGTTTATTACTAAGCTTTAGATCATATAGTTGACCAACTCATGTGTCAATTTATTCCTCCATAGTTTCTATAAATACGGAATCGACAATTCCACAATCCATCAACATCCCACGTATACACTGTACGGGAATGGATTTTATATTATACTTAAAAAATTTATGTCATATTATACTTTAATAATTTTTATTTATTTATAAATAAATCATATTATCTTTATAAATATATTTTATCTTATATTTTATTAATTTTAAAAATATATTATTTTATAAAAATTTATATTTTAATTTAATGATACTGTACAACAATACACCAACGATAAAAATGAAGAACAGCAATGGTCAAACATAATTTTAAATTTATGCCCAACTATTATTTAGCCTCATGTAATCATAATATCATAAAATTATTATTATTAAAAATAAATCATCATATCATATCAAATCATATATACTATTATATTATATTATATTACTAACCACTGGTTCATCATTCAAGTAATATATATTTTAAGTTTTTAAAATGAAATTTTGAGTTAGCGTTTTGCGTATTTACCACAAAAACTTCTTCTAAAATAATGTGAATATTTCTTAATTAAAACTAAAATATTTGCGTAGAATATATAGGTAGGGCACGAAGTGTACTCTAGAACCAATAATAATAATAATAACAATTATTATTATCGTTATATGATATAGTGTATGGTTCCGTATGCTTAAAAAAAATATCGTTACATAGAAATGATAGAATAGCGTTACACGTTCATCCTTGACAGTGTGGACTGTTTGTTGCATTTGCATTTGCATGTGAAGCTTTTTCATTCCATTTTGCGTAACCTTTTTCTCTGAATTTCCTTTTCTCCCCGTCGTTCTCTCTTGATCAGCTCTCTTTCTGAAAAACCATGGTGATTTTCTCTCCCTGAAGGCTAAAATAAAAATTTGAATGGAATTGGATAATCATAATTTTTTTTTGTTGCATTGCAATTGTTTGATGAATCGTGCTTATCAATTTGCTTCGCGTGTGTGCGTTGTTTGATCAGAATTTTATTGCCGGAGCTTTCAAGCCGCCATGCAAGATCTCAATCTCTTTTGCTGATGGAAGAACTCGCAAACAGGTGTGTTGTGATTGTGCTGCACTTCAGTGATGATAGTGATATGAAGGAATGAATGAACCCCTTTTTAGCCATTATTTTTGTAGGGTTGTGTTACACCTCTAACAATTTGTGCTTTATGGGGTTTCCTTTTTAATCATTTATTCAAGTCGATTGGTGGGAAAAATGCCCCTTGTGTATCTCAAGTAAGTTATGCTTTTTTTCCCACAAAGGAAGCTCTTTGTGCCTGTTTTAATCACAGAGGGATTTCAGAGTCTTAGTATCCAGTTAAACATCACTGCTGTGAATTATGGGAGATCTAAATGGTTACAAGATCGGAATCCATATGGTTTGCTATATTATGCCTAATCCGAGGCACACACGAATGAAATTTTATGTCATATCTATAATCCAGTGTAATGGTTCAAGTGATTTGATTGGCTTAGTTGATGGCTTGGTCTTTATATACCAATATTCAGTTTCTGAATTTTTTTTTTTGAGATTTGGGGTGTCTAGTTAGGTATCATGCTGTTTTATCTTTCTTATAATAACATGTTAATCCCTTCAAAGTTTATAATTACTTTGGGAAAATGTTCGTTTGTTTGTTTAGTTGCTTCCTTATTATTGTTATTCAGATATTAACATAATAATAACACTAAGTAAGATTTGGTTTTAGCTTCTAGTAAGCTGAGAAATGTTGATTTACTGTTTTGTACCCTTTCTTGATTGCTAGGTTCGCATGAAGAAGGAAAATGGCCAAACAGTCATGGTTCCTCTCTTTCAAAGTCAGGACAATATAATTGGGGAGGTACACTGCATGGGGCATCATCATGTTTTACCTTTGATGTGGGGATTTTGTACTGTTGTCTGTTAGTAAAATTGATTTTAATTTTTGACACTTTGCTACCAGGTTATTATAGAACCTGCAAATGGGAAGAAGGTTGAACATAATGGTGTAAAAATTGAGCTTCTTGGTCAAATTGGTGTGTTTCTATTCTTTTTTGTATTTTGGTATAAATCTAGGACCGCTTTCTTTAAACTCAAAAGCCATTTTTGCTGTTGATAGTACCCTTAATTGCATCTAGTTTCAAATTATGTGTTTTTATGTTTGTCTATAACTTCAAATGAAAATAAAGTTCTTAGTTTGGATTAGTACAAGAAGATATTCAAGAATCAAGATATTTATTCTTTTTGCTTATCATGGTCTTAACTCGTGGTTGAATGTATGTATAATATTCAAGATATCTAGTGAATTGGCATCTGGATTAGAAACTTCTTTTTATTGATAAATTGTACTAAGTCTTTCCTTCTTCTATCTTTCCCTCTTTACCATATACTCTAGCTACAGAGCGAAGCCCTCTAAATGCCACCATGAAGTGCACTTGAAAGCTTTTGTATTTATGTTATTTTATATTTGTCTACGTGGGACTTGTTGGTCAATGAAGTTAATTATGTGAACAGTGATGTCAGTGGGGCACTATATTTTAGTAATGTGTGTATATAATGAATGATGCTCCATATTAGTTCATTTCCTTCCATGCAGAGTTATATTTTGATAGAGGCAACTTCTATGACTTTACTTCTCTTGGTAAGTTTAAGCTTACACAACTCAGATCTTTCCTTTTTTATCTTTTCCTTTTTATTATGTTTGTTGCACATTTTTTAATATAGGCATTTGAATAATTACATATTTAAACCATGTTTATATTTAGAAGCTCCAATATGCAGTCTGTTTTGTTTTTCTTGTCCCCACCAAATTGTCTTGCTCCCTTTGTGGGGAGCATCATGATACTCTTGTGATATCATTGGTTAGAATTTATATGATAATTCTCCATGTTTTTTAACTCCATAATATATGTGCAGTACGCGAACTTGAGGTTCCTGGCAATTTATATGAAAGGAAAACATACCCATTCGAATTCTCCACTGTTGAAATGCCATATGAATCATACAATGGAATCAATGTTAAGCTTAGGTATGATAGTTATTTTACATTTTTACTTCTTTGGCAACCTTGAATTCTTAATTTCTGTGTTTTTTTCTTTACTTTTTTTTTTTGTAAACAGTTATGGAATAATTATAATTTCTAATGTTCATTTTTTAAAAAGGTGAGCAGCTAATGCTTGATGGTTAATATACTCTTGTTAAAAAGCAAAAAAGAGAATGTGGTATGGGAGGTAAATTGATAAGTCACTCCGTTGATAGTTTGTCTAAACAGATTACTTAGTTAGTCCCCAAGTTAGTTAGTTAGGTGAGTTAGTTGAACAAGGCATGTTGCCTATAAATAAGAATGGGGATTAAAGAGGGATGCCGGGGAGGGGGGGATTGGTGAAAGGAAATTGGGGCCTTCATGGCATTGGGAGGTGCAGGCCTTTGAAGTCTGCAGTAAGAGTTTTGTAATTGGGGTTCACCCATAATTCTTCTTAATAAAATACCTAGTTCCTATCAACTGGTATCAAAGCTCTACAATCTTGGGCATGTTCATGGTGGGAACAAGGATGGAAAGCCGAATAGAGGCATTGGAAAGAAGTTTGTTGGATCTGCAAAAACAAAAGGAAGAGGAAGGTGAGCGCAGGTCATTCATGGAGGCTTAGGTACGAAACACTGAAAGCAACGACCAAGAGATATTGTGCAGATTAGAAGAGATTCAATCGGGTCTTAATCACAATACCCTTGGGGAGGCCGAAAGTGAGAATGTGGGCAGAAACGAGCACGTTGTTGAAAGGAGATGATCGGTGGAGGAAACTTGAAATTCCAATATTTGAGGGAGACGACGCATATGGGTGGATTAACAAGATTGAAAGATACTTTCAATTACGAGGAGTATCGAAGGGAGAACGCATGACAGCAGTCTTGGTTGCTATGGAAGGAAAAGCTCTTTCATGGTTTCAGTGGTGGGAATCTTGCACTGGAAGCATTTCTTGGACACAATTCCGTCAGGTAGTCATTCACAGATTCCAACCCTCGATGATTCAAAACCCATATGGGATATTGTTGGGGTTAAATCAAGACGACTCAGTACAAGAGGAGGTAAGGGAAGAATTGAAAACAAGAGGAGGTAAGGGAAGAATTGAAATTACATTCAAAGCAGTCTTTGTCAGAGATGATGGACATGGCTCAACTCATTGACGAAAAAAACCAGATACTTTGGAGAAAAGGAGGCACCGAAAACACAATGGGAACTAAATGGGGTACCCATAACAAGAGTAACCTGGTTTCAAGAACCTATCTGGGGATTATGATAGCCGATTCAGACCTGGAGGAGCAACTGGAATAAATGGAGCAGCTTGTGTGGAGTCTTCTGCACCAAACAATTCAAATTTGAATTCTACAACAACGATTAATTCCAGTATGAATTCTTTCAATAAACCCACTGAAAATCTTGGAGTTAGTAGAAGGGGGAGAAATTTTAAGGAATTGTTGGCAGTGGAGTATAATGAAAGACATCAAAAAGTTCTCTGTTTTAGATGTGATGAGAAATTTTCCCCGGACCACGTTTGCAAAAATAAACAATTAAGGGTCATGTTGTTGGAAGAAGACCTTGACGGAATGGAAGTGTTAGAGGTGAGAGGAATACAAGACAATGTTTGGGAGGTAAAATCAAGACAGTGGGACCTGGCTGGAGTTATGTAATTCTCAAGGTGAAGCTTTAGGGAGGGGAGTATTGATAAGTCACTCCGTTGGTAGTTTGTCTAAACAGATTACTTAGTTAGTCCCCATTAGTTAGTTAGGTAGGTGAGTTAGTTGAACAAGGCATGTTGCCTATAAATAAGAATGGGGATTAAAGAGGGACGCCCGGGGGGGGGGGGGTTGGGATTGGTGAAAGGAAATTGGGGCCTTCATGGCATTGGGAGGTCCAGGCCCTTGAAGTTCTGCAGTAATAGTTTTGTAATTGGGGTTCACCCCTAATTCTTCTTAATAAATGGTGGCTATTTTATTGCTGTTACAGAAAGGATCAAGAGACCACTTCACCAACCTGGCTTCAACTAGAAGCATAAGCTGCTAAGATGGGATGGAAGAATTACTTTTGTGATTGTAGCATTATTTTCAGCTATATATCTAAGTGCTATCTTAGTTGGAAAAAAATGTGAGAATTATTTTTCCTACATTATTTTAAACAGGAAGGAAATCAAGTTTTCCTGCATAATGTCAAAGGATCACCAAGATCATTTTGGACCTTTTGGTTTTAGTTCAACAAATTATGTCAAAGTTTCTCTAAATCATTGTCATGCCAGTTAGTATTGTAGCTTTGAAATCAGGTTATATATACAACTTAACACTACAATCACATTTTGGAATGAATGATAAAATTTAATGAAAAGGAGCACAAATTTGATGGTATAGCAATCTATTTTCCTTGGTGGACAGAAGATTAACAAATTCACTTTGTCTCTTTTGGTTGACTCATTTGTAAAATTAGTGGCTTATCACCATAACCTTTGTTTCTACTTTTGTGGCTTTCCTTGCATATTAAAAACAACAATACACCAAAGGGTTGCTGTCCCAGAGTCATATGATTCCTTCAGAAAATATTCTCTGCCCAGATTAACCGAATTACAACACACACACAAACACCTGTTTTCACATACCACTACAGCATATATCCTAATACGTACCTGATACATATACATATGTTCTAATAAATAACTGCTATGCTAAAACATAACTGCCAGCCTAATACATATCAGCTACTGATTCTGCTCATTATAAGTGCCATCATATCAGTCATTTTTGCCTCTTCACCTTCTCCTAGAATACACACACCAAATGGATGGTTTAGTCAACTTGGGACTAATGGACCCATCCTCTGACCCATTTAATTCATGGTTTCCATCATTTACTGCTCCTGAAAAATCATCCTTGTCCATTCTTCATGGTTGAATGTCAGAAATTGACTCTTCAAAATAGTTTCCTCCTCCCAAGTTGCATCTTCACTTGACATTCCCCTCTAGTGGACAAAAACTCTGTAACTTTCTCTTCCTTCTGCATAACTTCTGGTACCTGAAACTCTTCTGGTTGTATGATAGGAACCAAATCAGTAAAAGAGAAAAAGAACAGAAGTTTTTTACTGATTGAGTGGATTTCCCTGGTTATTTGAGAGAACCTGGACTCTCTACTCTCAAAGAGTCAATCCTTTCTCCAGTTGACAATCTGACCTCCTTTTGTTTTATTTATACAAGTGATACCCTTTCCTAATTGCAACTAACTAAATAACTAACTACTGATTCTAACCAATGAACTAATGGGTTATCTAAAAATACTCCTTCCCAAATATTCACCTTGTCCTCAAGGTGAAGTTCCATTTAGGTTCCAATTGATTGAAGCATGATGTTTAGGCCCTCTCCATGCTTAACCTCAGGTTGGGTTTTGGCATCTGTTGTCTGTGGCACAATCTGCATGCCACCATTTCGATTCTCGTTTCTGCCAATATTGTAGTTATAGCTAGTGTACCCCTATTATTGTCCAGAGGTTTCGGGGGCGGAAGCTGAGTCAACAAGATAGACTTCGAGTTAGTCCTTACACCATGGTTAAGTTGGGCTGAATTATGGTTTAACACCAATTACAACAGTTTTACTAAATTTACCCCATTCAAGTCTCTCTATGGATTTGATCCTCCTTATTGTGAATAGCTATAATAGACTTATTAGGATTAGGGTTTATGTTAGTATTATAATAACATGCTTGTCCATTAGGGTTACATATGTATCCTTTTAAATATAAGGATCTCTGTACATAGTAGAGAACCTATCTAATTCTAGCACACTAATCTGTTTCTCTCTACGCTCACTCTCTCTTAATTCTACATGGTATCAAGAGTCTCCTAGGGTACCCCTCACCGCTGCCACCACCATCACCGCCAGTGTTGCCGCCGCCTGAAAAAAAAAAAAAAAAACCAGCAGTTTCAGACAAGACCGACCATGGCTGCTGTGGGGATGAAAATTTTTTTGGTGGCTGATAAACAATGCCGAGTCGCCATCAAAACAACTAGGTTTTCTAAAGATTTTGTAGTATAGAGTCAAACTTTGGCTGCACTTGTTTTGTGTTTTATGTTCGTCCTCAAGTAACTAAACTTGATCTAAAGTCCCTAAAATGTGTGTTTTTGGGTTATTCTCGGTTACAAAAAGGTTACCGTTGTTTTTCTCCTGATCTTGGTCATGATCTTATTTTCTCTAATGTGTCTGATAGATTCAAACATGTATATACTAGGAGAAAGAAGACTAGTTATAAAAATAAAAGTGTAAATAACCAATTCTGTTAATATTGGACAGCTGGCTCTGTTAGTAACTAAATATGAGCACAGATAGTTAGTTTTCAGTTTTTCGGTTGGAATAAAATAGGCTGGTCTGGAGAGTGAGGTCTCTTGAATCACCTCAGGTTATTGAATTTTGTAATCATTCTTCCCATTCCTAATCTGTACCACATTGGTGTAGCATTGGGGATTAGGTTCAGTAATAAAGAACAATCTTTCATATTCAGTTTAAACATTGGGTTCTATCAACTGGTATCAAAGCACCGATCCTGGTGCAGAACAACGATCTTGGGGGAAATTGATGCATGGGAAGAACGAGAATGGAGGCAAGGGTTGAAGCCTTGGAGCGCACACTGCAGAACTGGAATTGTGATCATGATTTACAAGAAAATGTGCAAGACGCAAGATTTTAGAAGTTGGAAGATATGATTTCAAATCTCATAGAAATTGTAGGGGAATTGTCGCAGAGAAATCAAAGTCATGGGAAAGATCACAGTCCAGAAAGAGATTACAATTATGAAAAAGATTCTGATTCAGCACAAGAACAACTGAGTCTAATAAAGAATACACAATGGCAAAAACTTGAAATTCCTATTTTTACGGGTGATGAGACATATGGATGGATGAATCGTTTAGAGAGGTATTTTCGGCTGAAGGGAATTCAAGAAGAAGAAAGAATACAGGCAGTTATGGTAGCAATGGAAGGAAAGACACTGAATTGGTTT